CAGTGCTGATACAATTGAAAGAAGGATTTTAAGTTTTTCTTAGGGATTTTGTAATACCCAAAGTCTTTTCATTAGGTATTTGGGGGAGGGGGGAATTCTAAATGCATTAAAACTTCCATTTTCATGTGTTCTGTACTGCCTTTATATTTTCACATGGCCTCTCATTCTTGAGTTTTGAAAATACATACTTGATGAACCTTTTATCTGCACTGGCTAAGCAGACAGAGGGTAAATTAGAATCAAATACCATGAGCTTTCTGTTTATGAAAAGTTTTATTTATTCTTGTAAGTTGTTGCTAGATTTCTGCAATAGAAAAAAAAGCCTGTGGGTTGAAAATTTCTAGATTTTTTTTTTGTTGTTGTTCTTTTCTCACCACATTGCTTTGGAGGTTTAATCAAGGATCAGTCCCCACTGCACAGAGTACTCTGTAAACATAAGAAACCCCTTGCAGTTCTTGAGAAAGAAAACTATTTATTTTCAGTGTTAAGTAGTATATCCATTTTTTTCCTGTTTGATTTGAAAGGACATTTTCTGAAATGAGGAAAAGATTGGTATTTTTTTAAAATAAATAAATAGAAATGAGGTGGCAGAAAGGCACCCTGAAAATCTAGAGCACTGTGGTGTAAAAGATCCAACACTAGGAGTTGGGTATTCTTACTATCAGGCGTGAGATTGTTGTGGAAAAATTAAAGGTGTGCATTATCATGTGCTTAACTAAGGATCTCAAGCATTTTTACATCCAGTTTTTAAACCTCAAGATTTCTGTGGCCTAGGATGTGTTCTCTGTTCAGTTAGAAGTCATTTTACTGATACCTTCTGTAGAGTCCTGTGTGGAAAAATTCTGTGAGTATAAAATGACACTGTGTTATGGCAGTTTTAATGTCGGCCTCTAACATTTATAGAAAATTGCCATTCTTAATTTTGACAAAATCAGTAAGTGTTATGAGTTAAATACAAATTATGAGGACAAGAAGCATGGCTATTTAAATATTAAAAAATGAGATGTGACTTTAGTTCAACAGCCTCTTTTTTTTAATTATTATTTCCTAAAAGGGGATAATATTGGCAAAGCAATTGGATGTCACTCTGTCTTATGAAGCCAGCTGAAAAACAAGAATAGAGGCGATTTTCACTTTGCTGCTCTATTTAAATCTGGCCTATTCTTTTATATAAATATGCATTCAGAAATGGGAAAAGGGAAGATGCTACCTGTGCAGAGTTTGATAAAAATCATTAAAGCAACCTTTGCCTTTGCATCCCTTGGTGTAATGGAAGGATCTCAGCCCCTGTTCTGGGCAAATGTCATTGCCTGGTAATAGAAGGCTCCTTCTTCTCACCTAATGATTGACAAGATTGTAGAGATGACCAGGAGAGAGATCGCTCAAGGAGTTAAGTTGTAACTGGCACAGACAACATCAAAAAAGTCTATTAGTTGAAAAGTTTCCACAGTTTATCTGTAGGACATGTGGTTTTGGTTTAGTTTTATAAATGGCAGTTTTAACAGACATACTAGAGTTGCATGCAGTTCTACTAAGCATAAATAAAAGTAACAAAGTCTGAAAGGAATAAACAGTATGGTGTCAGATAGAAGGGAGTTTATTGTAAATCTGCAGCCACCTGAGCAATAAGGTTAAGCAGCTTCATGGTGTTGCTGCTCTTCAGGAATGCTGGGGGGTTGGGTCTTTTTTAAGTTACAGTTTTGATTTCTCAGAACTGCAAAAATGCATCCTTTTGACAAGTGATAGTTATAGAAGAATGCCAGTTTCTTTACATGGATTTGCACTGGACAGTAGCTGTATGAACATAATGTAGCGCTCTGCTGGCAGCAAGAGTTGCAGTAGTGTTTGTTGTGTGTTATTTTTGTAAGTGGAAAAAGATCGTGTCTCAATTTATTGCTCTTACTACACATTTAATTTTACTGCAGCTTAGCATGCAAATCACATACAGTGATGATTTATGTGGTTGTGTGTTTTTTTTCCCACTGGCATGAATCTTCATATTAATGAAGCCACTAGTGAGTGTAGAAAATAGAATGTAATATTACTGTACATGGTAATGGATGCTGTAGCAGTGTTAACCTAGTCTGTTTTGGAGTTGTTTTTTTCTTTTTCCTTGTTTTGACTTTCTTTGATCAGTAAGTACCTGACAGTATTCTGGTCTTATCCATGGTGTCAAATTGTGTGTGCACATCTGCTTAAGCACTAATTATAAATGCAAGTCTAAATAGGGTGTTTATTGTCCATGTAGCTTGTAAATTGCATGTAGATTCTATTCTGTGAAAACAAATTATTTGAAAATAATCACAAACAAAAGAATATGGTCTTGGAAGAACTGTATACACACAGAAGTGGATGTATTGTATCGCAGAATTATAGAATGGGTTGGGTTGGAAGGGACCTTAAAGATCATCTAGTTCCAATCCCCTGCCATGGGCAGGGGCATCTTCCACAGGACCAGGTTGCTCAAAGTCCCATTCAGTCTGGTCTTGGACACTTCCAGGGATAGGGCATCCACAGCTTCTCTGGGCAACTTGTTCCAGTGCCTCACCACCTTCATAGTGAAGAATTTCTTCCTTATATCTAATCTAAACCTGCCCTCTTTCAGTGCAGAGCCATTCTCCCGTGTCCTATCACTGCATACCCTTGTGAAAAGCTCCTCCCCAGCTCTCTTTTAGCCCCCTTTAGCTTCTGAAAGGTGCCATAAGGTCTCCTCAGAGCCTTCTCTTCTCCAGGCTTAACAACCCCAACTCTCTCAGCCTGTCTTCATAGGAGAGGTTCTCCAACCCTCTCAGCATCTTCATGGCCCTCCTTTCAACTCACTCCAACAGATATAGGACCTTATTTTCTCGGGGACCCCAGAACTGGACACAGTAGTCCAGATGGGGTGTCACCAGAGCAGAGTAGAGGGAAAGAATCACCTCCCTCGACCTGCTGGTCACACTGCTGTTGATCCAGCCCCGGATACAATTGGCTTGCTGGGCTGCAAGTCATCACTGCGCATCACTGGGTCACATTGAGCGTCTCATCAACCTAACCATTATATGTACTTGTCATCTCTTGAAGAATACCTATTTAAATAAAATCTTTTAAATCATTAGCATTACTGTTTAATCTGTCTTAATGGTTCTTTTCATTTGATTGACAATTAGCAAATTAATGGGGAAAAGCCAGTTAATGCCATACTCAGCTTCAGGACTGAAAGCTGTTCCTTATTTAATGTTTTCCTTAATGATGGAAATATATAAAATGCTGGGGAAAAGGTCAGGGTGAGTTGCACTCTTGGGTATATTTTGTTGTTGTTTGTCTTGTTGATAAAGGTTTTGTAATCTGTTCTGGTTCTTCTAGTGTAGAAGATAGTACCACTTAAAAACTTAACACTTCAGGGAATATTGGGGTCACAAGATCCTGTCCATTGCAGTTACAGACAACCATGTCGTATAATCCCACCCGTAACTGATCGTACCCCAACAGGACAACAACTATTGTTTGTCCTCACTACTCCCATGGAGTGTTGTCCTGCAAATTCAGGTTAAAACTGTTCTGATTTCCAGCCACGGTGTGCTCGTGACCATTTCACAGGCAGTTCTAAGAGTACAGTTTTCTTTCAGCTGTCAGAAGTGAGCTGCACACCAAGGCAGAATTTAAGAAAACACTGTCAGCTCTGTCTCATTTTTCATCTAAGACAATTAGGCTTTTTTAAGACCCATTCTTCCCTGAAGCTTATCACCAAGTTTCTTGGCATGTTGTATTCTGCACGTAATAGCTGGTATGCAGCAAGTCTCTCTGGACTTTAACAGTTTCAGTCCTGCCAAAGCTTCAAATGCCACGAGATTGCCTTCCTGAAACAGCTCAGCAGCCACTTTATTTTTTTTTCTCCCCAGATAGGGCAGGATCTCCTAATAATATTTATGTGGTTTGCATGTTCCTTCCTCACAGCTGCCTGTAGGACAGAACATAGCAGGGCACTCTGCACCATGTTGATCCTGCTTTGAGCACATATTTGCTAGGTTATCTGTTTCCTCTCGTATTTTTCCAAAACGGATGAAAACAAATGCATCTTGGCAAGTTGCTGTGTACATATGCACAAACATGGGAAAGGATTTATTTGTGAGCAGCAAGTGGCACCATGTTATCTGCTTTCAATGAAGGTGACTACACTGCTAACATTACTTTCTAACTAGAGGTCAAGAGCTTAAATGAAGTTGTGTGTAGCAGAAATACACTAGTTTGTACTGTATGTGATTTATGAATTGGAGGGCTGTCAGGTCCTAACTAGAAACAATTTTGTTCTAGATGATCCCAAAGCTGCAACCAATTGTTCTGATATAAAGAAAGCCTCAACTGTGAATGCATTGACTTGTATTTAGCATGGATTTATTTTTTCCTTACAGTACTTCATTAGAGTATGCAGCCTTTGGTGAAAGTAATGCATGGGTTTAATTTGCAGGAAACTTGGGGACAGTGACTTTTAGATATCAGTTTCTGATTGCAAAAATGTTTTTTGTCCAAAAGGTAAGTAGGAGTTAATACAACAAAAAATTTTGACCATATACTACTTTGAAAAATAACAAATATAAAATTTGTGGTCATGACTCTGCGATGTTATAAGATTTTAAAAAGTTCTTCAGCATCTGCATCTGATGTTAGTGTTAAACCAGGAATTCTTAAAAATAAAATCTCTGTCTTTACTGAAATTTATAATTCACCTAGTTGAAGAAGAGCTACTACACTACTGCATACTTGGTAATCCAGTAATTTTATTTTTGTTTTAAAGAAATCACTAAAGTAATTAGTATTTTTAAGTACTAATATAGTAAGAAAGAATAAGTTTGCAACCTGTTTTACAGTGGTTACACTTTAGATTCCTTACTTAGGCATCTCCTAGGTAAATTGGTATTTGATTTAGTTGATAGTTGTTATCTGTAAGCTTGTAAGTACTCATTTTGTTATTTGCCATTTTATTTTTTTCTATTTTTTTAATTTTTTTTTTTAATGTACAGGATGTGAATGAAGATCCTGGAGAAGATGTTGCACTTCTCTCTGTTAGTTTTGAGGATGCAGAAGCTACTCAGGTTTTTCCGAAGCTGTACCTCTCCCCACGTATTGAACAGTGAGTGACACAAGTTTTTTTTCTGGAATGTTTATTGTACTTCATTTCTGAACTTTACAATTTTTTCCTTATATATGTGAGAAATGTTGACTAGGTGATAACTTGCTATTGCTTTAAATTGCTGAAAGTTATAGTGATTACTGCAAGTGTGTGTGTGGTGGAGAAATGACAGGTCTTCTTTCAGCTAGTCCTTTATATACCTGATATTATCATAATCTCTGAAAAGTAAACTGTGTTTTCCTGTAGCAGTATATTTTGAATGCCTCCCATGGTACAGCTGATAGCTTTTGTGGGCGAAGGGGTGGGGAATTTCTTTTTTTTTTTTTTCTTCAGAAGGTAATTTCTCTGTATAAAGATAATATATTTGAATAAAATATTGTTGTAGTAGCTAAAGGACTTTGTTAGCTGTGTTTTAGGAATTTGCAGGTTTATAGGTTGCTTTTTTCAGGAGAATATCTGAATATTTAATTTTAAGAGTGTTGAACCTTACAGATTTGTTTACCAGTTGGCAAAGAGATTTGCTGAGAAACAAATTTCTACGCCTAAAATGGGAGGGTGAGGATTAGAAATCAATCTGTTTTCATTAAATTTCTCTTAGTCCTTTTCTGGAATTAAGAATGTTTTAATGCTTCTCCTTCCCTTCACTATCTCAGTCTTGTAATGTGTCAAAAAAGTAACTATGTTAGACATTTCAAGTACAACACAATCAAACTGATCCAGCATTGTTTGAGTGATGTGTTATTTTTTGGGTTAATACTGTAGCAACTTTCCTCTGGACTGGTGGTAATTCTTCTGTGTAGAGAAGGAAAGATAGGAAATACTGACTACTACAGTTTTAAGGTGGTAACTTGGGGGTAAAGTTTGTATGAGTGAAGAAACATTGATCTGGATAAACTCTTGGATGCAGTTTAGAAAAGAAAAACCGGGATAAAGGCAGAAGACTTTAGGATACTTTATTTAAGAAAATATGTGCAAACACACAGCATATATTGGTAGCAGGAGCAAGATCGGGATAGAGATTGGAGCAGGGCCTTGGACATGGGTCATAGGTCCAGGGCTGGGATTGGGATCAAGAGCGAATACCAGAGTGGGGACCTGGACATTTGTCATAGGACTGGGACCAGGCAGCCGTGACCAGGATGGGACTGGGATCGGAGCGGGGCCTTGGGCATGGAGCAAGGACTGGGCCCAGGCAGGTGGGAGCAGGGCAGCAGCCTCAGGGCCCTGGGACACAGAGGCACTTCCTGCTGTCACAGGCCTATTAATGCCAACAGTCCTTAGTTGTTACCAGCAGTCTTTGGTTGGCTCCACAGCAATCCGGTACCAGTGTTTGAGACATGCACATTCTGGGAATTGAGAGCTCCAAGGGTCACACTTTGGGCTGCTGTTTATAGAGTTGTTAGAGAGTGGGCTTTAGTCACAGCAATTTTCTGTCCTGACCACAGTTCGAGTGGGGAACTCTCTTTGAAGATTCAGTAGCAAAAATATTATCCTACTTGGGTTCTTATTCAGGCAAGAAGAACAAGTTTCCAAGGCTGCTCATTAAGAAGCAGGTGCTGGTATGTGCTAGACACCTGTTAGTCCCTGGGAACAGACAATGTTTCTAATAAGCTCAAGAAGCTCAAGGCTGGGCTGTGACTGTCAGGATGCAGGAAGAGTCCTCGGCCTCATGCTCTGAGCTTACGTAGTTTCGCACAACACAGATCAAAATGTTTGGTAATTCCTCATGAGGGGCAGCTCTCTGTGTGACCAGTGACAGGACCTGAGGGAACGGCTGGAGCTGTGCCTGGAGAGGTTTAGGTTGGATATTAGGAAAAGGTTCTTCCCCTAGAGGGTGGTCAGGCAATGGGATAGGCTCCTCAGGGACGTGGTCACGGCCCCGAGGCTGACAGAGCTCAGGGAGCTTTTAGACAACAGTCTCAGGCACATGGTGGGATTGTTGGGGTGTCCTGTGCAGGGCCAGGAATTGGACTCGATGATCCTTGTGGGTCACTTCCAACTCAGGAGATTCCATGACTCCATGATACTTAGTAGCTTTTACATTTTCATATTTTATATCAATTCACTACTTTTTGTCAGGGTTAGTTTAGGGAATAATTGTAGTTCAACATGTAATTATCCTTCCATGTTTCAAAGGATACTTCTTCTGAGCTCTTCTAAAAGCAAATGGGCTGCCATTAGTCTCTGATGTATTTTCAGTTATAGTCACATGTTGATGGTTAAGTGTATTTCAGGCCACCCAGGTATGTCTGTCTAAATGATCCATGAGCTAATGAATACATTGCTTATTTTCCCACTTTCAGTTGTATGTTTAAAAAGATGTTAACCTCTTGATAGCAAGCAGAATAGCAATCAAATACTTTTTCTTCCTAAAAGTATTGCATTTTCTCTCAGAGCCCTAAAGAACATTTGATTTTAGATGTGTGATGTAGAGCGATACAGCAGAAAAATATTTGAGGGGTGTTGGTACCTATCTGACATGTCTGATGTATTTATGACTTTGTCATTTATGTAGTCATGTTAAAATCATGCCAGTAAACCCTGGAGTTCTGTGCCACACCATGGCACATTATTGATGTGTCAAAGTCAAGATACTTCACTCATCTGATTTAATTTCATCACAGTATCTAGGCACTGGTAACCTGTAATACCAGAGCTGTTTGTGAGCTGTTGCACCTCCCTTAGTTCTACTGGCTGCTTTTTTATGTGCCATGAAAAAATGTATGGGTATTTTTCTAATGTTTGTTCAATTGCAGTCTAGTAACAGAAGATGTGGTTGTCTCTTGTTCTTTTCCCAAAACCAATCTCTGCTCTGTTTAGCAAGGGCTGACAGTCTAGATATTTAACTTTCCAATGTTTGGGAACTGAAGCAACAGTGCATACTTCTTTATACTTTTTGCCAAAAGTACAAAAAGCCTCAAGAAGCCCTGAGGATTAGTTTAATGACTTGAGTCCCTGGCATGTTACATTTGAATTGTGTTCTGCTTATAAAAGTTCTTTCCTGCTGCTAGCAGTAATTGCATCTACAAAAGCCATGTAAGCAAATTACCACTGTATTTTTTTTATACAGCAGATTTTGAACTGAACTAAGTAGTAGTAGCTGATAGAAGTAGTTGATAGTTCCCAACATAACATTCCCAAGTACTCAACAAAAGGAAAAATACTGAATTCCCACAATTATTTTGCTAATACTAAAATATGTTCACCTTAGGAAGAACAAGCAAACAGGAATAGCATTTTCCTGACATATGAAATAACATTTCAGCTTTGTAGAGAAATAAGAGCAAAGGGCCTGTTTGTGTAACGTGAGTTATCTCCTGCTTTCCCAAGAGATTTCATTGCTTTTGTACTTTGCCATATAAACATGCATTCCCACATTGCATTTTCTAAAAATGATACATACCCACAGATCTTGTCAGCAAATTTGAGTCCTAGCAATATGAATATAGGTTTTTTGCTTTGGAAGGTTTTTGTAAAGATGATTGCTCTGTTTTTAGATGTATAGCAAACATAATACTAGCAAGACTTTGACTGTACTTTGTCATAGACTCTGGAAGAGATTTCCAAAATGAGGGAAATGTCCACCCTTTATGGTTTGGGGTGAAGACATTAGTACATGGGTTGGCTTGAAAAAGCTCACATATTGAGCAGGGAGTAGAAGTGCAGTAGAGAAGTACTATGGTGTGATATCTGGCTGCAGAGTGTCAAGTCCAGTTCTTTCAGTAAAACAACCAACCCCACACTTTGGGACAGGAAGCATTTTTGTTAATTTATAAAAATCTCAACAATGACTACTCGTAACTATACCTGGTTTAATTCTTTCATTAAAACTTGCTAATTTGAAAACATTAATTTCAGTACTAGTTTTTCAAAACACATTAGCAGCAACATTTAGTTAATGGTTCCTTAACTTGAAATCAGTCACTTAAAAAAACTTTGATTTTATAATTTGAAGAATTTTTCTTTTTCTTTGTTACACTGCATCAATAAGCATATAGACGCCAATAACAGTTGCTTTCAGTTATTTCAAAAATTAGATCAAGTTAAAATGAAACATGGGATATTTATGATACATATTTATTTGAAAAAAGCCTACCATTTTTACTGTAGTATCATAGAAAACAGTTTTTACACACTTCTGGAGGAAGTGGTAAGATGAGAAACCGCGCAGACTGACCACACAACTTGAGAGGTTGGTGCTCGTCAGCATCCTGAGTGTGTGTCTGCAGCTCATCCTTCACCTCCTCCCACCTCAGAGTGTGGGACTTGTTGCAGGATACTCTTCCATCCTTCACTGATAGCTGCTGTGCTTTGGGTGGAAGGTCATACAGCTGAGCTGGGTAGGCACAGGTATATTCTGAGGCTGCTTCTGCACTCTTTGGCACATCGAGGAGCTGCTGGGATATTTACCCTTTATGTCTCTGTTACATCTCACGTGTTATTCATAACATCTCAAAACCTGTCAGTAGAAAGCATCTTGCTTGTTCAAAATTACCTTTTTTGTGGAAGTATGTTAGATATTCATATGTGAATGAAATTTGTAATAAAACTACCCATTACATCTTTGGTTTCTATTTATTAAAAGTCATTAGACTCTAAATCTACGCAGTCAGTGCAGGATTGAACAGCTAATTTCTGTATTAGTGCTTAAAATGTGTGTCAGCATACTACACGTGAATGTGGATCAGAAGATTCTGGGTTTTTTTCTTAAAAGAAAAAATTTAATATATGTAATTTTTTTTCCCTTCATGAGTCATCCATGCTAAAGAAAATAAAACTGGGTTCATCTTGGTTCACATTTTAAGAAAAAAATATATAAGGGTAGAAACGCTGTTACTCAGTGAGTTCTGTCTTCCCTGTGTTCACAGAAATAATCCTGCAATAAACACTGTTGTCCTGGAGGGCTTTTCTCTGATAAATACGCAGACGTGAATATGCTAAGAAAACCAGCTGTCAGTAGAACTTGTTTTGCTTAAATGGATCAGGCTCCATGGTTTGGG